TCTATACTCGATGCATTAGCCAACCCCCCATTTCCCCATTCGTTCATCTGTGTAATTTTCTTTTATTCTATTTGTATTAGTTTCTTCTCACTTGCTTCCTCTTTCATCTTCCTTTTCTCGTCACACAATAATTATAACATTAGAATATATTGAGACAATAAATATTACGAGATATGTCTAGAATATTTTTTTATTTCAGACAATTTGGTGAAAATAAAGTGCGAGAAATATGCAACAGAGTATTCAAGCAGCTGGCGCAAATATATTATTTAATGATGAATCGTATATGACAGATTTGTGAAATCGGATTTTTTTATAAGCGCACTTTGTACGTTTTCTACGTGCATCGTCATTTTCTCACTCTGTTGCATTATCATTATCGCAGATAGACGTCGAAATATCATCTGGTGTAATTGAAAGCAAATCTCGATCTCGATTCTTTACTCACGATAACGTCAATCTAATTTTTCAATCTGTATATCATTAAGATATGTTCGGATCCAAATCCGACATGTATATAGGAACGAATACATAATAAAAGAAACGCGTATGAAGGAAAAGAAGCAGGAAGAAGAATCGTCGTAATGTAGGAAATAAGTATTTTACATTCATTTGATGGATGTTCTTAGCGTTTAAGTAGCGTTAAAAAGAATAATGTTGTATTAAACGGGAATCCAATGGTTGGAATCGAATGAAATTACGTGAATTAATTCAAGACCCTCTGTTTTATCAGGCAAGTCCTACTTAGAGCGAGAAATCCTGACGCCTGATTGCGATATGGTAAAACGCTTGCGCTCATGCAAGCAAGAATGTTATGTTAGCACTAATGACAATATATATATATAATAATAATATATATCTATGTGTTAGATCGGTGTTGCATCATATATTGTGTTCCTTATACCTGTACATATACATATCTATATATCCGCCTGCAGCTATGTGCACGATATCGTTGGTGCGATTCTTCCATTGACCGCTCTGAGCCGAAAATTGATACTATTCTGTTATCTACACTTTCTTCCGACCAGTGTGACGAAAAAAAAGAGTGATACCTTTCACTTTCAATTCTAACATGTGTATTGTAGAAATGTCAATAACTTCGCGCGCGAATGTTCGTTCGATTTATTATTTAGATCGCATGCACATAAAATGAAATGTGTGTATATCAAAAATATCAATATATATTGAGAAAAATGATGAATATATGAACAAAAATTTCGATATTAATTCAAGCGCTTAAATTACATGGGGCGAATGACATCCGAATCGACAATATGTCCCGAATCTACGATATTTTTCCGATTTAAGGGGATCCTAAACGCGGTCTTGCTTCATCGATGAAACATCATTTTTGCGCACTCTTCTTTTTATTAGTTGCGTAGAATAATCAATGCTTTTCCACGGTTAAAGTATATAAAGAAACAAAGCGCGAACCTATCGATTTTATTAAAAGAATTTTTTTTGTTTTAAACAAAATCGGTAGGTTCGCGCTTTAGTTTCTATATGTATAGTTTGATCATGGAAAATCATTTATTATTTTATTCAAGCAATGAAAAGAAAAGCGTACGCAAAAATGATGTTTCATCGATGAAACGAGACAAGACAGCGTTCAGGATCCCCTTAATGATTTTGCGATCGTCAGATCGATCTTGCTTACGTCATCAAGCCGTCGTCGATTCACTCGCTGAAGGCTTGAAACAATTAAGTAGTACGATCGAGAATAGCCCGACCATAGTCGGCCCTGTGCTAAGCATCGTGTCATCTCTCCTTTTACCTCGGTCAAAAATTCATCTGGTATCTTTTTTCTCTTCTTTTGAATTCCAAAATTTGATGTCCACGTATAAAACAAAATTAACACAAATAAATTGTGAAATAAAAAATGTATTACATTGTTATATAATATTGAACCAATGTCGCGTATTTTTCAAGAAGAAAAGAATTTACTTTAATAACGACAGAGATCTTTCATTCTATTTTTATCTCTTTCTATCTCTTCCCCCATCTGTGTATGTATCATGATATATGTATATATATATATATATATATATATATATATATATTTATATATATCTACATAAAAAAATTCTTTGCCTGTCCGTCTGACCCATCTGCCTGTTAACGGCCGCCTTATTCGAGTTTAGTAAACTTGCTACTTGTTTCTCTTATTAGAGTGAAGAATATTATTCCCCAAACTCTATAATAACTTTCTCCCAACATTTGGAAGCATCGTCTGTATTATTATGTAGTAAAGGCAAATATAGTGGTTGGAAACGGGTGGATAAACAGACGGACGGCTTTTCTTGCTAAATGCGTAGTACGGTCTACCTAGCAAGCTAGTTGTTGCTGTCTGTCTGTCTGTCTGTCTATCTATCTGTCTGTCTGTCTGGCGGTCTGTTTTTGTCTATTAATTTGTTCCTCTTGTTTAACAACTCCATTATATAACACCTATTCACGTGATCAGTTTTCGACGATACAGCCTCGACGCGGCTCGACGATCGAAAGACATTTTATCGGGTTCTAATAATTTTATTCTACATAAGAGTGCGATTTAAATTATTTTTACCCTTAAAATTACGATGACAAAAAATTGGTAAAGTCTCTTTAATTTTTTTTCCACAATATTCTTTGATGCGATTATTTTTATTGGATATCTAAGAATATAAAGTATACATGAAAAAAGATATACTTTTAATTTTATCTATTGAGTTTTTTCATACGAAAAAAATAGATATTTCATATTGTTATAAATAAAATTATAAGATTATAATTTATTATATATTTATTAATTACGTCCGCGCGCGTAATCGATAAATAATGATCGATCGATCGAGCTATGATCCAGGCTGCGTCTATCCTAAGCGTGCACTATATTATATTTTAGTTTCATATCACTCTTTCGATTATTTTATTTCCATATTATTCACTGTCTCACACGGCCAATGCTCTTGGTATGCTGGATGGATTAATTGACTTACTTAATTGATTAATATGCAATTCATATATTCAAATATATTAATTGAACATTTCTGCCCTTTCCGTACGGTATTATCTACCTATATTCTACACTATATTATCGTTGCGATGTTGGTGTTGTTGTTTAATACATCTATATATATCTATATATATACTCTAATCAATATTTTGTATTGATGTTGATGTTGTTGTTAATTTGATGTTTTTGATGTGTTGTTTAGTCGTTGTTATCTTGCTGTTTGTTTGATGTTTGCACTATGTTGTTGCACTCTGTGTGTCTATGTACACACCTACATACGTACATGTATATATCTCTCTTATCACGTATTATATGCGTACACGTTATTATCTATTCCATGCACAAAATTTCGATTGTGTACGAAAAATTTTTCATCTCCATACACCATCTAGACCAACAAAAATTTAAACGTCACGTTGAAATCCTGACGAGATGTCATATACTATGCATACGTGCACGCTTGTAGTGTAACGCGTATTCAAAAAATATCTAAACAACTCGATTTAATATATCTATATACAAATTGTAGTTTCCTTTAACGAGGATTTTCGCTCGTAATTATTATTTATTCAATTAAATATCGCAGTATACCGAATGTGAGATTACGAGAATATCTCAAGATGAAGAATAGAGCCTCTTTTAACTATGCGTATATGCAATATATTTTCTTGATTTGTTTCATGTTCTGTTAAGAATATATTTTATAAACGTACATTTCATATTCATCCGATCTCACGCTTGGAATGCATCATCCAATGCATATGTATATGTGTATGTATGTACGTCATATATAAATATATATGTACAGTGTTCCAGGATTATCGTACCCTCTTTCACATTATAAATTCTTTTGGTGAATCTGAGGTCGATGAATCCTACACAGGAAAATTTCGTGTCGAGATATGGATGATTTAAATTGATTAACGAAAATTGAACAACTTTGGAGACAAAATAAATACCTAAAATACCTAAACATCTTAAATTTCAAGAAAACTTTTGTATCTGATTCAATGGCGCCGAAATGTTTTGAAATAAAAAAAAAGTTATGTCGACGATAATTTTGTTCTCTGTAAAATTGTAATTAATTAATTGACTTAATTTTTCTGTATAAAATTTCTAGGAAAAAACGACTTTGCATTCATTCAAGAATCTATAATTGAAAGGAACAGTGTGCGACAGTTTTGGAACATAATCTGTACCATGGTCTAAGCATCAGAATTTTATCGATTCGTCACTAAAACCACCCCCTAACAAGCTCATGGTAACAACGACTTTTCTGTCCTTATCTAACTATCTATGTATCTATCGATCTATCTGTATATTTCTGCGTGTGTCAGTTACGAAACTGGGCTAAGCTACGATGCCGCCGAAAGGTGAAACATTACTAGAGGGAGAGATCTGCTCTAGCATTTTACCAGCTTATTATTATAGTTTTGCTACAATTCTCTCTACTTGTATACGGCTTATCTCAATTTCGTGATTCGGTCCGAGTACACGTACATACATATGTAAGTGTTCGAATGCGACTTATAATCATAACTAAAAGATTAATACGTGTATATTAAGTATAGCTAAGCTAGATCAAATTTCTGTACAACAGACACTTTACTGACAATTGTTCAATTACATCAATGTGATGATAATCGAATTATGTAATATTAAAAAAAAATAAATAAATAAATAAGCGTGATAACTCCGGATAAACAAAATTCACAATAAAGTGCGAAATAAATTGGACGAAATAATTTCGTCTTTCAAAGGAGGTGAAAACTCGTTGACACTCGTTGAAAGAAATCTAACATTTTGTATATTTCAAGATAGTAGGATAATTATATGTAGCGCTAAACGTTTCGTCCAGTTTCGATCAATAGACAAAAATTAAAAAAAAAAAATAGTATCGCGATTCGCGAAGGTAAGGAAAGAACAGCGTTAAATTAAGGGGGTGGTTCACCGTGACGTCGAGATCATTAATCAGATCAGATGATCATTGTGAATTGTGTTTCAGGATTGCATTCACCTCACGAAGGATTAACCGGTGGCTCTGGTCAAAGTATGTCCGGACTTGCTTACTATCAGGCAGAACACCCCGGATCCACAGGGGTAGTAAAGTACCCCGAGAACGGACACGATACCCTCTCGGATTTTGTGACGTTCGTCTGCCAAGAAGCCGAAAACACCCAGCAATTACCCCAGGTAGTTCTTTTTTCACGGATAGTGCGGATATAATCGGAGAGATTTTGTTTTTTGACACGTACACACGAAATCTCTAGGATTTCTGGGATTTTCTGGGATTTTTTTCTGGGAGAATAAAAACCGGTACCTATGTAACTCACGCGATTACTTTTAGACGCAGCTAACCGGACCGCGCACTGGTATACAAAAATTCCCACAGTATTATCCGAGTTCGATGTTACCGCCACCACCTCCAGCTCCTATGGCCAGACCGGTGGCGATAATAAGATCGACGGGTGAGCTGGCAGCAACAACCGCCAGTTCGCCACCAACATCGTCTACGTCGCCCACGGATCCAGCCGAGTTGGGTCCCAACCAGGAACAGATGACCGCGGCGGTCGGTCTCGTCGGTTCTGCTTGCCAGAATTCTGTCGAATCCGCAGGCCGGAAGAGTCCCGCCAGAATTCTCGTTACACCGCACACCACCAGCAGGGAATACACGTTTGCTCATTTTCATTCGCAACCCGGACAGGTAAGACTGGTTTTTCATCTCAATTATAGAGTCGATTGCTTTTAGCGTTTTTCTTTAACTTTCATTTTTATGTGAGAGCTAGATGCATATGTAATCTTTCTGCGCTCTCGCTTTTCCAGCAAATCTTCACGTATCCGACCATCAGCTCGATGTCCGGGGTAATTTCGCCAACTAATCTGTCTCTCTTTTCGTCTCCTGTCTCGGTCACGAGACCGGTGGCAACTCAGAGATCGGTCTCAAATGTTCCACCGCGTTGGAATACTGCACCATTTATCAATTTGGAAGACGATTACAACATGATCGCGCCGATTATCGCTGGGACTACTAGTGAACCACCGACTGCCATGGAAGAAGGTGAAACTAAATCTCGTGTTTCTATCAATAGCAAGATGACAAATATTTTGGATGATTTAAAACGGAGATTCTCTCTCTCTCTCTCTTTCTCTCTTTTCAGAACGATATTTTCATCCTGTGCATACGAGTGGCGTAGTAGATAAAAATGGCAGTGGTAATTTAATAGGCAACGAACTCGGAGTCAGCACAGATCCTGCGTCGCATCATCATCAGCAACAGCAGCAACATCAACAGCAGCAGCAACAACAGCATCAACAACATCAGCAGCAACAGACGCAATCATCTTCGCAACAGCAGCAACAAGTAATGGCAGATAAATCCGGCGGACCTAAATCTCCTCCGTGACAGTGGAGTCTGAAAACGGAAAGTCTCGAGAGACTCGCATACTCGCCGCGTTTTTCGAGATCGGTACTTAGTATCGCGTGCAATAATTATTCCGAGGTCATGGCCGAGGCCGAATTCGAGAGTAATCGTCAGGAATCTATGCCTCGTATTCAACTGCGTGATTTAAATATGCGGGGAATAGAATGTCTAAGAGTTCGATCTTAATTTACCATTATTATATAAAGCAAGAGGAGATTCATGTTTATCTCGAAATGAATTCGTACAATATAAAGTTTCATATTACAACAACTTAACCAAGTATATATAGTTCTTCTGAAGCATAGTTTATCGCGAGAGAGTTTGCGACGCGCTTGGAATAGCCATAAGATAACGTCGCCGTGCATGCCTTATCCTGCTCGAGAACAGAAAATTGTCTACATACAGTGTCGTACAACGAAATATTGTTCAAGCTATAATGTAACGTATTTAGATAAACGACATGGTTTCAATTAAAATTGATACAAATAATTGGACGCGATATACAATTAATATGCAATATCGTTTGGTCATTTGTCAACAACACAAAGTGCGCTTGTATTGGTCGATACACGGTTCACGATTTCCTGACAACTATCTAAAGTGTCTTTCTTTGTCTTTTTCTCTTTCTCCCCCTTCTCCTCCCCCCCCCTCTCTCTCTCTTTCTTTATTTTTCTCCTTTTCCGTATTTTTCTGTATCTCGAGATACGAGATCAGCTGAGTTTCTTCATTTACACTATTAATAATTCTTCTAAAGCTCGCAGTCATAGTTGTAACGGTGCGGTATATAGGATTCTTCCATAGTATTTGTATTATAATAAAAGATTCGTTATTTTCGTAATAAAAATTTTCGTGATATATATATATATATGCGCGCGGGCAGGTTTTTTTAATAAGTACGAAACTGTAATATTTTGTATAAATAGTATTTTATAGTTGATAATAACGAAGAGAAGCATGGAAGCATAAATCTTCTTTCGCTATACTAAAAGCAAAAATGACGCGTTGACAAAGGCTTCTGTGAGCAAGAAACACTCTCTCTCCTCATCGTTCTCTGAACATTGTTCAGACGACTTTTCTCGTTGATCCAATCTGCATGCTTCGCAATGTCCTTTTAACATTGAAATCAACAGTAATATTCCTATTGACCGTCTTTTGCACATTTTGTGTGTGTCCAAGTTTCATTCTCTCTGCCGAAAAATTGTTCTTCCATGATTATTCCAGACTTTGCGTCACGTGTTTATAGTATACAAGTTTATACGTATATATTTGTATAGAAAGTTGTGTTGTTACATATTTTACGTAGTGCATTGGGGTGAGTAAATATTACGCGGATTTAGCTTGAACAAATAAAATTTGTTATCTCGCGTATCGCAAAGAACGATACGTGTGAGTGATTCGTTAGAAATGAATTGGCGACGATGAATGTACGATTCGTATAACGATCGAATAATTGAACCGTGTATAGAGTTTTCTGTGCCAATGAAGCAGCACACGTGCGCGCTATTCTTTTTGTAGTGATATTAATAAATTAAGGATATTTCCTATAAACGCGGATTTAATGCGAGAGAAATGTCGAAACGGTGATAAATCGCACCTTAAACAAGAATCTATTGAATAAGGATTTGCGGATTTGCAAATGAGAGTTACTCGATAATATAAGCGAAGCGTCACCGCGTAATGCTCAGGCTAGCATTAATACGTATTAGGGAAAAGAACTAGTGAAAACTAGTCACTTCAGAGGCTGCTAATTAGAAACAATGTGGATATTTAATATTGTGTTTATCGGATAACATAATAAGCGCTTAATTATTTAAATATGTTATCAATGTTATATTGAAGGTAATGACGTAGGAAATAATATACCGCGTGAGAGCAAACGAGCATCGAATATGATTATTGCGAACAAAGTCTAAACTTTGTATAAAGTTTTTCATCGCCAATGTATATTAAAAAGAATGCATAAAATAAGAAATTAACATTATACTACGGACTTATTTATATTGTAAAAGATACTCGGTTAAATTTCGACAGCTCAAATCTTTCGTTATTTATTATATATCGTAAGAGCCAAATACTCCTAGTATATTTGTTAAACGATCAAATTCGCACACTTCATCTTTAATAATTAATCGAAACTATTTTTCTCTTTCTTATTCACATAATTGACGCAGAGAAGAATGTTCGGATTTGTTTTCGTTATCCGTAATCAAAAGAATATATTAGCTAATAAGAGCATTCGACTTGGATGAGCAATATGTTGTTACGTTCTTATGTATATTATCTAGATAACAACAAGATAATCAATTTTGTTAATACTGTTTTATTAATACCACTTGTTACAACATCGCGCAATTTAATGTTTTCTTCTTTAAATTGTTTCCTTGTTTTGTTTTTTTTTTTTTTTTTTTTTTTTGAACACATGAAATTCGATAAAGATTTAGCAGCGGTGAGGAGAGAAAAATATTTGATCAGAAGTATAGGCATTTTTTTCAATTTGAGAAATCGGGTTAAATTTCATCAATATAGTTAAAGTAATCACACTTTATGTACAACACTATATTTCATTTTCTTTTAAAATGTATATACCATCGTAAGACAAAATAAGCCTAACGCTTGTGAATGTAGTTGAAACAGATACGTATAGTTACCTATCTGCTTGTGGCTCTACTATTTACATAATTAGAAAAAAAACACGGATTATTTCATTAAGTACTCAACCTCGCTTATAAAAATAACAATAATCCCAGTCTATTTAAAATAAGTTAATAATTATGCGAGGTTTAAAATAGGAGGCCTACTTTAGAATTATATAGTTCTAGATAGTCTATCCATGTTATCATTATTGTGTTTGTGTGTATTTCCGTGAGAAGAGAAGTATACATATACAATACAAGTATGCGAACGCACGTGTAAAGTAGAGAGGTCAAAATAGAATCAAGAGATAAATTGAAAAAGTATCATGTGGGCACTGTACCAGAAGAAGCAAAACATTTTGTTACTCGAATCATGAAAATAAGATCACTGATCGGCCGAATGTTTTATTTTGCTGGCTCCTTCCCTATTTATTAATCTATTGATCCTTAACTGGTAAAAGGAGAAAAAAGGCAATACAATTGGTAATAAGAAATCTCTCAGATTTCTTATTTTCATTTTCTTTTCAAAGTTTGAGATTTCCATTTTCGATTGGATAATGTTAATTATTTTTATTTTTATATATTTCTATCTAAAGAGAATAGAAATATAAAAAATAAAAAGAAAAATTATTGTCTTAAATATTTAATATCTTCAATTATTTAATGTTTTTTAAACAGGAGTAAGAAGACGATGTTTTAAAATTTCTGTATACCACGTTAAGGATTAATTTAGCTTGATTTTATGAAAATTATTGGTTGCTGAATTATTACATATACCTATAGTTTGATCAGAAACCAATATAATTTTTTTACAGCACAATATCTTAAATTGCGAAATGTCTTAAAATTATGTTATTTAATTTTGCGCACGTGTAATATTGTCAATTTTTTTAAATTAATCTAATTATTTAGTCATTTTTTAATTTCATGTATACAAATCCTGCTTAAATTAATATCTTTTTTTTATTTAGTAAGCATATTTTCAAAATTTTGAATGCATTATTTAAATTGTAATACATCATTTCTACATCAACATTAATTATTTTCAAGTATTGCTCATTATAGATTATTGATTACGGAAACAACAGATTTATTTTATCTCTGTCACAATTAAAATTTCTTTAAGTACACTTTGAAGCACATATACATATGTATGTATAATCTAAAAAAGTATTATAAAATAATAAATAAATTATACAAAACAAAGAAGAAATAAGAAAATATATTTCACAAGAAATATTTGTACATTAATCAAAAAATGCTTGTGTATCTAATTCGGTTCAGCACGATAACAATAGTAAATATAATATTAACAACTCGATAATAAAATACTATATTATGTTAATATTCCTACAGAATGTTTTTGGTGCAGTTGCTTATATTATATAAAACAACATAATTATAATAACTACAGCTTACAACAACGTTATAACCACAAGAGATTATTGCTTAACATTCTTACATATTGCTTCTCATTATTATTAAAATTCATATACACTTATCTGCTACTACTATTATCATCATCATACCATTATTAATATTCCTGCTACTATCATTACTACTATGGCTACTATTACTATTATCTTACTGCAATTACTACAACTATCACTACTAATTCTACAACTATCACTACTGCTATACTGTTACTATTATTATTATTATTAACACTACTATTATATTTGTCATTAATATCACTTCTATAATTATTAATGGTACTATTACTGTATTTCTTACAGTTATTATTACCTACTACTATTGCTATATTATTACTATCACTATCATTACTACTAATATTATTAACATTAATACTACTCCTACTATTACTTCTACTATTATTACTGCTGCTGCTATTACTACTACTATTACTACTACTAATTCTACTGTTATTACGATTACTATTACTAATACTATTACTACTAATACTATCGTTACTATACTACTACTATCGCTATTGTTACTACTAATGCTATTATTATGACTATTATTACTACTAATACTAATAGTACTACCATACTTACTATCATTAATTAATACCAAAATCTACTACTACTACTGCTATTGTTATTACTATTATTATAATTATTTTATCGCCACCATTAAACACTTTACCACTATTACCGCTATTAGTGCTACTGTTACAACTATTACCGTTATTACTATCATCACTATCACCACCACTAAAACTAAAACTACTATTACTATTATTACTGATACTATTACACTATTATAATTAGTACCACCAACTGGTAGCGTTATTATTACTACAACTAGTATATTATTACTACTGTATAGGCATAATTATTATTAATTTTATTGTATGGATCATCACTATTACCACTGTCTCTAATACTGTCGCTATTATTAACATTACGTTACTGTTGTGCAATCGATATTAATTGTTATTTTTTTTTTCATCTACTGCTACTAATTTTCCTCGCGATTTATTAAAATTGCATTACCAATATTGTATAACGCATAATATAATTACTATTAAGATATTTTTAAACACATTAATATTGTGAAAAGAATAGATATTGAAAGTATATTTACACAAGCCGCTAAAGAAGATAAAAAATGAGCTCGTGACGATTCGAAATTAGCATGTATACGCAAATATGTGAAAACAATACTAGCATCGCTACATTTTTTTAGAATTATAATAATTCAAAATTACTAACAAACCATAAATTATAAAACGTGAACATGTCATATATACTTTTGAATATTGTGCGTTATTTTAGAAAAACAAAGTGGTTCGGGATATATATATATATATATATATATATATATATATATATATATATTGCAAAAGTTTTATGATTTTTCTGAAATATGTCATGAAAGAAAAGAAGGGAAAGAGCGCACAATTTATATAAAGTTTCTTTATCGCGCGCAAATAATTAATGACTTTATTAAAAATTAACTATGAATAATTTGTATATTATTTTTTATAAGCAGATACAGGAAGCTTTTATGGTCGATTTATGATGATAAAACAATTTGCAATGACTCGACACTCGATTTATCAAGACTGAATGAAATTTAAATCTAATATATCAATTATATTCTCTTTCTTCTTGTTTTTTCGCAATAATTAGTTTGTCACGTTAAAAATTTTATAAGCCATTGCAGTATTTTGAGATAATTTTTACACGTGATTTATAACAAAGTTTTAATCTCATTATTTTAATTTTAATACATTGCTAAAAATCATTGTGA